AAACTTGCTCTGAGAACTTGCTCAGAAAATTTGTGCCAAGAACTTGCTTGGAGAACTTGCTCAAAGGAACTCGCGCCAACAACTTGCTCAGACGAACTTGCGCAGAGAACTTGCTAGGATTACTTGGCGCCGTGCGCTGCTCATGCTTTCAGGCCACCCATCTTCTAGTTTCCTCTTGGTAGCATCACGGTAGTTCGAGCACCCTTTCTTGTTAGCAGTGCTATTGTAAACCTCGCCTCCTGCCTTGTTGCCAGTATTTAGCACCTTCTCAGTTGGATAGTCATGTGGCCCGGCCAAAATCATATCCAGTCTTTCGCTTCGCTAGCTGGTCCTGCGACGCTTTTTCCTCTTTGCAACCTATGTAATTCAGTCCCACTGACAAACGCATTTTGCTTGAAGCATTTCACACCTTTGTGACGCCAAGGTCGCGGCTTTGACATATCTCGTTGCCTCCTGACAGAAGGGTTGAAGGCAGATTTCCAAGCCTTGTTTTCCACATATTCCGCAATATGGACGCTGTTTCGCACGTGTCTGAAAGTGCTCAGGGCTTGCAAGTGCGAGGGCTCAAGGTTTTCATGGTGGGACGTCGTAAGGCGCCATTATCATTTTTTGAGGCGCTAGCTTCCCTACAGTCTCTGGACCCATGGAACGCCAAAGAGGTTCAACGTGAGCTGTATTGCATGGCGCTTGTGCTAGCCTCCCGCAGTGAGTATTTTGGAAATGCGAGCAATTCCATTTCATTCTCGCAATCAACGTTCTTTTCCGAGATCTCGACTTGAATTTGGCAGCTCTGGGCGAGGTTCCGATTTACTTGCTCGCAGCATACGTGGCTTGTCGGGAAACCAAGCTGGAGGGATGTGCTGATAGCATCAAGACCATCGCTCGCCGAAGCAACACGTGCTAAAGACATGCGCCATCCATTTCTTCTTTGACGACACAGCTTCGCCTCCACTACGCCTTGAACATTGGTTCCGACCCGTTCTCGCAAAAGGTTTCGGCGCTGCTGGACGCGAACTCCCTAGCAACATTGCGGAATGGCAGCTCTGTTGCTCAATGTGGTAATTGCAACACACGGTCATGGCCATGTTTCGACACATGTTCGGTGGCTGTATAATCTAATAAGAGTTGCTAACGCCGCAGTCTGCAAGTTTATGCAAGTTCTCTCTTGCTTTGCTTGTGGCAAGATCTTTAGCCGAGCTCGAGAAGAAGATAGCAACCAGAAGTGGCATGTGCCCAGTCTCGGCCGCAAGCTGCTGAGACTGATGCGCGAGTTTCGGCAGAGTAGCGAGACGGCCACCAAATGCTGCGGTGATGGAAAAGTGCATTGAGCGTCCGTACTACGGAAGTTGCTTCGAAACTTCCTTTGATTAATGCAAGGTGGTAGGTTGATTCACCACGAATCCCTGGGGCCTTCACTCTCGAACATGGCATTGACATGGCATTTTCCTCCTCGAAGTCAATGAACAACATCGATGCTTTTACCCAGCGTCAAGGAGATGGATGGACCCGATGTGTCCTCTTCCCAAAAAAGGGGACTTCCTACTACAGGGACATACATAGACTGATTGTAACTGTGCGTTGCTCACATAAGCTACTCAATTTCGCACCGTACATGAAGGAGACAAGCCTTTTCTGGTTTATACAGACCTGTCATGTTGTTTGGCTGTTTGGGGCCGAGGCTGGTGTAATTGTTGTCCTCATTCTGATCTGCGTCCAGTTGAGGGAAACCCTTCATCAAAAGGAAAGAGCTCTGAGAAACCGAAAACAGCTGGCCATGCGTTAAACTCACGCCTTCTTTTTTTTCCGTTGCTCATGCCCCCTTTGGTTTGGGCATTATCATTTACCAGTCTGGCAGGGCCTGAGACCTTGAAAAGGATCCAAGAGCGGCGTGGTGGCACGCTTCTTTTTGTCGCCAGGCTGGACGGGTCTATAGCGCCAGCCTGCACGGGTTTACGGCAATAATTCGTGCGGCAGGTGTCAAATGCCGACGGAGCGGCTGATTCAAACACATGTCTTGAGAAACTCCAGGCAAACATAGGCAACTTCAAACTTGTTTATAGTTGTGCCCTCGAGCAGGGCGGTTCAGGCCTGTTTTGCAGTCCTGACCCCCCGTTCGCGGCCCGCAAAGCAGCCGGCAATGGACCGGTCTCTTTACCAGCCACCTGACTGGGGTTTAGCGGGGCTAGGAAAAAAACAAAACACCGGTTCCCACCCTAAATAATCTCAAAAACATGAGCATGCATACCCCCCCCCATCATTTCCCTTGACGCTATCGCTTTTTCCCCTTATCGTTTTGCATCGCTTTCTTCGATTTGGCAGGTCAAGCTGTGGAATCGCAACTGTTCAGCACAAGCGTAGCACGAGAAGTACATTTCCGCAGCTCCAGCTCAAAATCGCAACTTTACAATGCAACCGAACTACACTTCCGCAGTTCCAGGAAAAGAGGCGCCAAGCAGATGAAATCTGTAGAAAGGGAAGAACGGCAACTGTGAACCAAATTGTCAGGGGAAGAGAAGCCAAGCTGATGAAATCTGTAGATTGGGCAGGCTTTTCTAAGACGGCAGGTGATTTCAGTTCACTTTGAGGTTCTGCTTCGGGCCATGAAACCAGGTCTTAGAACCTCCTAAGGTCCTAAGCTTGATTGGCTTCCTTTTGGCGTACCTTAAAACTCCGACATGGAAGTGCCGCGGTGCCCCTCTTAAGACGAGTGTCCTGAACGCCCGCCTACCCAAACGAATCAGAGGAATCAGGCGGAATCGGGCTGCCGTGCACAGGCAGGCAAAGCCTCACCTCTTTCAGGCAGAACTCAATGTGCAGAATTTACGGGGCCCACGAGAGGCAACCGAGATTCCGGGGCAAAACCTTTCTGAAGCCGGAAGGGCCACAAAGCCCGACTTTTTGGAGACATCCATTTGAAGGGTCTAATCGATTCCGATATCTGGAGGAAAGTACAACCTGCCCTACACGATGCTTCATGCCTCAAGCCCTCAACCAAAGCTTGGCAAGGAGCATTGGAGCAGATGGTGAATTCGAGTAGATTCGGATGTCAGCCTGACTGATAAAGAATGGGTGTGGCGCAGAAATGAGACGCATCTGGGGACTGTGCAATGAGCCAGCGCTTACCCCTCTGGCCAAGATGCCGGATGCAAAGCCACAACAACAAACAACCCACGCTTTTCTCTAGGAGCACCAAACCAAGTGCTTTCTCTTCCGAGGGATGTGCACCCTTTACTTGCCGGTCCCTTTCTCGAACCCAAAAGGGATCCTTGCGTGACCCTCCCCGCCGCCCCGGTCGATGGAAGCCTTGCCTGGGCATCGAAAAACAAAACAAAAAACATTGGAAGTGCTTGGGTCCAACACACCATCCGGAGCTAGCTTTGCCTCAGTTGAATCTTCAAAAACCGTTGCTAGCGGGGTCCCGGGTTTGCCATGACCCCATTTAGTGTTGAGTGGAAATCTTATCTATGCTCAGGACAAAGTGTCCGGAAAAAGAGACGCACATGTGAGCCACGGTCAAAGCTCCTTGTTTCCCCCAGAGGGCATGGAAAATTGTGAGAGCCACCTGGATCAGTGGCAAACTTAGTGAGTTCCCCCATGTCTCTCCAGATTGGAACACGGAAACCTCATGTGGCACAACGACAACTCCCTCTTCACCCTTCCCCCAAGCGCGCTCTAACGCTCGCCTCAAGGTCATCGTCCTGCAAGCGCCAGAACGTGGGGTCTCAACATGAGTTGGACCCTTCCAGGTGGGTATCTGAATCTAAAAGCAACATCTGGTTCCAATTGTTCGCGACATGCCCATAGCATGCACCTTCCAAGTTTCCGGAGAACTTTGCTGCAGGTACGTCAGGGCCGCATTGACCTGACGAGGAACCCAACTCAGGCTATCCTCAGGTCATTTGCAATGATGGGGTTGGTCCTGATTCTTGTAGGTAGATGGGTCTCCCCCTAACTTCCAAACCACCAATCCAAACAGCCAATGAAGGATACGCTGACCAACCGTTGTTCATGTATCAAGAAAACAGACCTGGACTCGAACCGCTGTAAAAAGATGTGAGATGCTTGAGCAAGAGATGTGGCCAGGCAATGTAGTGACACTGTTTGAACAACTGGACATCTCCAAGCCAGGGCACCACGTCCTGCGGCGTCACCACAAGGTCGTTGCAGGGCCGCGACCAGTCCAGGAAGCCGCCGTTGAGCAGACACTAAAGCTGACCGCCAAAGTAGCTTGGCTTTTCTTGCGCTTGTCTGCAAACGCCTCGCCCGACGTCAACCCTTGGCAAGCCTGCAGGCCGCAGCAGTTCATGATCTCCTCTCCTGGGTGTGTCTGCTGTTTTTTTGGCAAAAAGCTGTTCAGCTGTTCTGCCACTTAGGGAACTGTTGTCAATGTGCAACCTCAAACCCGGGACCCAATCTCATCTCACCATACTTTGACTAAAGGGCAAGGATGCTCGGCTTCTCCAAGCAAAGACCCACGCGAGTCACACCCAAACGGAGAATTCTGGATGTTCCGGACCTAAATCCAAACCAAGTCTCCCGGGTTGATCTCCCTCTCCGCGTGGAACACAAGGTGCTCCCCGCCTTATGCGAATGCTCTTCTCATCCCAAATGGACCATGGATATGGTGACCAAACCGGATATGCGGACTAGATGAAGCATCTTTTTGCACAAGGCTGCCTGTTACACAGCCGCCTTTTTTGGCAGATTGGACAATGGCCGCCCGCAAGCGAGCGGCAGAAAATTGTTCCGACTGCGCCTTTTGAAGTATGCACAAGCCTGGCTGTTACGCAACCAGATTCGACAATGGCCGCCGGCACGCCAGCGTGACAAATTATTCCGACTGCGCCTTTTAAAGGAGGCCGGGAGAACATTTACATGAGCTATTTGCCTGAATTTAGGCAACGAATACGTCATGTATACGTCTATCTGTGAGACTTGCTCTTCAGCGGTGTCAGCTCATATGTCTGTGCAGATCGCAATACCTCATCACCTCTCCTCGCCTATGACCCGATCAGAATGCTCAACGCCGCCCCCAAAACGTCGTCCAGCGCGGCAGCCGCTGTCATGGTGACCTGGTTGATCGCCAGGAAGGTACCCAAACGCTGCAACATCAAACTCCGAAGGTTCTCATTGAAAACATGCACGTCTTCAATCTTGCTCAGGACCAAATCCTTGTCAGAAGGAAAAGAAGCCTGAGCTTCCCTCACGTCCAAGTGAAGCAGATGGTCCACGCACTTTTCCAACGACGATGCGGAATGGGTCTTCACAGCCTGATGCAAATGCAGCCTGTCAGCTTCTACTAGCTCGGCAACACACCAGACTCTGGTGAGCAAGCTGAAGTCGATCTCCATTGCCACCACCTGCTCCAAGCGCACCTGCGATTTCTGCCGATGGAGCTGCTTCAAGAACGCCATCATGTCGTCAAACTTGTTCATCTCACTCAAATCTCCCTCAAAATGCTTCGCAGTTGAACAACTGCACGCGGTGATTTCATGGCCCATGGAGTCGCAGGGCGGCGCCCGGGCGCAAATTCCTGCGTGCTGATTGACGGAGAACGCACACACCCAGTATGGCACATCCAGTGTGTTCTTTTGCTGCAACCTGGCGGACACTCCTTCGAAGTCCCTGGACATCAACAACTGCTCCACGATGTCATAAGTCTCCTCTTCGAGAGCATCCGCGAAAATTGCGCTGATCAAATGGCAGAACTTGTTACCCCAGCTGTGAGTGACCATCTTCTGCGCCAAACACGGCCTTCCACCATTGATGCTCGTTGCGTACGCAAATCCCTTGGATCTGCCTTCATCCTGGGCATCCTTTTCAATCAAGGGGTGGCAAATGGAAATTGCAAGTGTCACAGGTTGAGGCTTTGCGTTCTCCTCCATATTCTCTGAATCTTCTTTCAAAAGCTTGGCATCGCTGGATTCCATGATTGCAGATGCTTCTTCAAGTGAGTCACATGGAACGATCGAGGCCACCAAAGCACCTGCACCAAGACGGACCTCTATTTCCGTCGAGCCGTGCCAGAATTCACAGCTGGGCAGGATGGAGAAGAGCTCTACTTCTTCTTGTCCTGCCTTGTTCTGCACAAGGCCTCGCACTGCAAAGTACATGCCTTCCTCTGGCAAGACATCTTGCAAAAGAACTGTCTCATCCCAGATGACTGAACTTGAGCCCCCTTTCCAAGGCTTGAGCATTGGCTCCGAATCATGACGGCAGACACGAAGCAGGCAACCGGGATCAGAGCATTCAAGGCCAACAGCCCGATGCACCTGGACGGCAAAAGTGCGAGCTTCGCGCAGCTGCATGGAGCTTGGAATAATGGCGTGTCGCACAACATCGTGCGTCGTTGAACAGTTCGGATCCTCCGATGCACAAAAAGCAACTGAGCAGACATATCACTTTTGGGAGTCACATGATGCAGAATTGAAAATTTGAAAGGTCAAATGTCTGCTTTAGTCATCCAAGGATCGAAGTGTGGCATCATACGAGGCTGGCACACTAAATCTGCATAGAAATCAAGCAACTGTCTGAGTGTAAGACCCCGCCCTGCTAGGTCCCGAACTTTCTCGTTCCAAATCGACGACTTGTCTGCTTCATCTTGCATCTTAGATTGAGATCCACCAAACTGAGCAAGATCATCGACATTCAAGCCAAATTTCCTGGATGTCAAGCAGGCCCCATTCAACATGCAAAGCACCTCTACTTGGTTTCGAACAAACAACCAAGGACCCAAGGAAAAGTTTACCTTGAATTTGCGACGAGCTTCTTTGGAGGTGAGAAAATCACCTGTCGGCGCTTCGACACACCGCCAACCTCCGAAACGACGCCAGAGATGATGCATGCCACTGATGGCACCAAAAGAAGCTTGCGAACCACCACCAAAGCCAGGGAAAACAGCCATTTCCACTCGTCTGCTGGGTCGAGATTTGCTAGGAAGGCCATGATGATGAGCATGTGTAGGACGGTGAGGCAAGCACCCAGAGTCCAGAATCTGAGATGTTTGAAGTGGTGAATGCGCAGTTTCCAATACCGATCAGCAGGACTCTCCACATGCACAAAGCGGCTAAAAGCGAGGCATTGAAACAGGCTGCGTGGGATGAAGTTCAAAGCGATGCTGAAGGATGAAACGAAAATAAGCCAAAGGAAAGAAGTCTGCTCGATGGGGCAGTCTTCGGGGCTTCTGGCAGCAACTGCACTGCCATCCACAGAGAAGAACAAGGCGACAAAAGCAAGCGAGCCAAGGGTGCAGTCCATGAAAATCTTGGCACGTTGGGCTGCAGTGACGTGCAGGTCAAATTGCAGAATCTCAAACAAGGGATGTGTAGTAACAAAGGTCGAGAACCAGCAGCGCAAGCGTGATCTGTGAACCCTTACGTATGCAGAGGGCAAATTATCCTTCACACGCAGAGCCACTGCCTTGAGGAAAGCAGACTTCTGTATAGCTAGACTACCTTGAACCCAGCCTTCAGCACCCCATATGTGCTGCTCAATCAAATTCGTGTGGAGTCTGTGTTGTAAAGACACTTCGCGCAATGTGTTTTGGCAAAGAATACTTTCCTGCATCTTGCTGAAAGGCCGCGCTTTCTTCAATTCTTGCATAGCTGCCAGCATGTCAGGAGATGGACGTTGGCTCTTGTTCCTTCTTGTGGTACAATCACCCCTGCACCGGCAACAGCTACCCTGAGGAAAACCCGGCGTCTCAGTGAGAAAAAACTCGGCTTGCCACAGTGCTGACCTGGAAGCATCCAGCAGAACGCCAGCAGCCAGCAAGAGTAATAAGACCGCAACCAGCAACCACAGGCACAACGAAGGAGGTCGTGTCCACCAATCAGGTCGCTCGATGATCTCTCGCAAGTTCTCCGGTGACAGCACATTGATGTTGGTACAATCGAGGAGCACATCCACAAAAATTGCAAAAATGGACAAGTGAAATGTAGCACACCAAGCGCCTGAGGTGTCAACAACTCCGCTCAACTGCTCAAGCTCCTCTGCCGTTGCCCAGCGTACGCCCTCCGTTGACCAAGTTCCATCTTCCAACTGATAGGCGCAAAGCAAAGATGACTCGAGATTTGCCGGTGACAACTTCAATAAAATCGGCTTGGCGGACGTTACATTGCCTACAGACAGGTCGGAGCCAAACAAGGAAACGTCGACAGCGTCTGTTGCAAAGGACAAAGGATTGCCAGCGCTTGACATTGCCGGCGCTCCTCTCCCCATGAGAGCCTTGCTTGCCTCTCCGTCAAAGGTTGTGATCACCATAGCGCCATAGCTACCATTTTGCAGGGTCTCTGTGGGAATGAACACAGCCGATATGCTGTTGTCAAAAGAGTGACGGGCCATCGCAAAGCCAGCTTCTGGTGGTTGATCTGTCAATTTCACCGCCGTCATTCTGCCAAGTGGAGTCAAGGCTGTTGTGACATTATCTGACCTGAGCTGCGTTATCAAAGACCTGGCATTCGCCTCGAGGACTTCGGCAACAGAAATGCCTCCAGATCCTGCAACTGTTGTTATGCTGGAGCTCGAAGTAGTGCTAGAACTCGAGCTGAAAGTGGAGAGCGAGGTTGTTGTACGGGAGCTTGGGCTTGAACTGGTTATGCTGGAGGAGCTGGTTGTGCTAGAGCCTGTCATCGGTGCAGTGCTGAAACTTGAAGTGCTCGTGATGGAATTGGACGAGGTAGAGCTGGAGCTTGAGCTGGTCACGCTAGAGACTGACGTTGCCATGCTGGAGCTTGATGTGGTTGTGCTGGAAATTGACGTTGCAGTGCGGGTGCTTGATGTGCTTGTGCTGGAAATTGACGTTGCAGTGCGGGTGCTTGATGTGCTTGTGCTGGAAATTGACGTTGCAGTGCGGGTGCTTGATGTGGTTGTGCTGGAAATTGACGTTGCAGTGCGGGTGCTTGATGTGCTTGTGCTGGAAATTGACGTTGCAGTGCGGGTGCTTGATGTGCTTGTGCTGGAAATTGACGTTGCAGTGCGGGTGCTTGATGCGGTTGTGCTGGAACTTGACGTTGCAGTGTTGGTGCTTGAAGTGGTAGACGTAGTAGTGCTGGTGCTTGACGTGATCGTGCTGGAACTGGACAAGGTAGAGCTGGAGCTTGAGCTGGTCACGCTAGACACTGATGTTGTAATGCTGGAGCTTGACGTTGCAGTGCGGGTGCTTGAAGTGGTAGTGCTGAAAGTTGACGTGGTAGTGCTGGAAGTTGATGCGGTGGTTGTGGTTCCCTGCAGCTCCAAATACCACAGGTCTGAAAGCTCCGCCGTATCCTGTCCTCCAAAGAGCCACATGCGATTCTGCGAGTCACGGGCAAAATAGCTTTTCCACCTGAGAGGGGGAGTGGTGTCGGCGGTTACCTCGGTCCAGACCTCCCCCCCAGGGCCCAGGTACTGCAGGTCGCTGCGCATGACGTTGCCACTAGAGTCTGCAGAACCACTCCAGACCCACATAATCTCAGGTGATCCTGCGACAGCTACATGAAATTGCCTGCTAACAGGATTGTTGGCGACCACTTCCGTCCAAGTTTCCGATGCCGTGTCCAACACATGCAAGTCATTTAGCGTGAGTGAAGAACCTATGCCACCAAAGATCCACATGCGGTTGCTTGAGTCCATGACAGCAACATGCTTATGCCTTGCACTAGGAAGGGTGCCACTTGCGGTGACCGGGACCCAATTCTCTGTTGGTGTGTCCAAGTAGTGCAAGTCATTCAAGTTCACGCCGTCGGCATAACCACCAAAGATCCACATGCGGTCGCTCGAGTCCATGGCCGCACTGTGCCTGTTCCTAGCTGTTGGCACAGAGCCCGTGGCAACGACCTCAGCCCAAGCTTCGGTCGCCGTGTTCAAGGTGAACAGTAGGTTGTTGTTCGTGCTAGAAACGGCTTTTCCGCCAAAGATCCACATGACGTCGTTGGAGTCTATAGTGGCCGAATGGAAGTATCGGAGAGGGGGAGAGCCAGTGACGGAGACCTGGGTCCAGCTTTGCGCCACCGTGTCCAAGCGCCACACCTCATCAGAAGCACTGCCGCCGCCCCCGGTCACAATTCCCCCATAGATCCACATGCGATCGCTGGAGTCCATCGCACAAGCACCGGTATGCCGCGCGGAGGGTGCGGAACCGCTGACGGTGACCTGGTTCCAAGCCGCCACGCCCAGCAAACCACCAAGAAATAACTGCCATGCGCGATATGCCATTGCTCGCAGTTCTCTGTTCTCTGGTTGGGTTGTATCATGGGGAAATTGGGTTGTGTTCCTGGTTTTGGGAGGCTTTTTGGGTGGGGCAGTGGTGACCCCCTTCTCGCCCTCCCCAAACCAACAGTGAACCAATGATGGTGTCAGTCGCTCGTTCGAAATGTTCGAAATGCAATGGTTGAAACACCCGCAATACAGTAGTTGGTATCCATCAATCTCCGTGCACCTCGTCTCCTCCCAAGGGTCCCCAATAACACACATCATAGCATTGAACTTGTGGATGCGAAAAGCGAACCCTGCTGACGCTTGTGATGCGGCTTGCCGGATGTCCAGCTCCACGTCCCGAACCCAACCGATTGCCGATGGCCTTAGCCTTCCAGCATCATCGCAAGAGGGGAAATCATAGGGAAGCCCCCTTCTGGATTGTGTTTTCTGAATGAAAATCAAAAGAAAGCCGTTGCCCTTTGGATCCCTTTGGAAGGAATGGATTCGTAACACTTCCTAAGACTGGCACGGCAGGCCTTTTTAACCGCTTCGCTTGACAAAATATAGGGGCCTCCCAAACATGTGGAGAGAGAAACGTACCTTCCCAAGAAAGCAGTAGCACAGCATGTCAGGACCTTTTGTCAAGACCGCGCCGATGTGGAAAAACCGCAGGGTGCCACTGAAGATTGATGCAACATTCGACGGCACATCCAACTCTGTTTCGCCTCCATCTTGCATGTGATAGGTGTGAACATTAGCCCGCTCAAGTGTGCAATGTCTAAACATGCCCACACGCTACCCGTTGAACCAGCTAGGATCCAAACGAGATCTCGAAAGGGAACCCACGATTCAGAACCCCCCTTGCAATATTGGTTTGGGGGTGGCCCATTTAACAGAGGCACTCTACTTTTGGGGGATGCCCCTGCTTAATCCGCCATGTACTCAACATTAAAGGGGATGTGGGCTTGCTTTGGCTTGCTCTGGCACTCCTTGCTCCCCGTACAGAACCTGGATCAGCTGGGTACAGGTATGCGTCCTAAAAGGGGCCCTACTTTTGACACGTGCTCGGCTGTGGCGAAATTTCCCCCAGTTCCGAGATGTCCATGTCACTGCTTTGCCTGCGACACGCGACGACCAAATCATCAACAAGTCTACGGCTAGGTTCCAGATTCTCTTCACCCACCTTTCTCTTTGGAAACCGCCATTTGTCCAGGGGCTTGGCCGATATGTTGTAGAGAAAGATCCCCAAAGCGAATGGGGAATGTAGAGTTGGAACAAGTTCAAGACGTATCCCCAGCATCGTTGACGTTCTTCCCCGGAATCCGCCATGCCCGGAGCATACCTGGAACGCGCCCCAAAGTCGCCCCAGCCACAGGCTGGCGAATTGACCCTAAACTGTTCAACCTTTGTACATTGACATGGTTTTGACACACAGCCATAGCCAGCGCGTCCGCTTGTCAAGATATAGACTGGATGGCAGCCCCCTGCAACCGGAAACAGTGGTGCCTGCTTGAACATGGCGACAAAGATTCGCGCAAGCTCGCGGTCAGCCTAGCACTTCCCGCGTGGTTGGAAGAAATTCAGCAAGGCAGTGACCATTAAGCCGAAGTCCAATCACACAGGTGGTACTTGGATTCGGCGTCTGCATTGCCCAAAACACTCCGTTTCAAGGACAACACCCGTTCTCGGAACAAATGATGCGCATGCACCCCTCATTGGCCCATCAAACACAAGCGCAATGGGACGCAGCCTGCCGGTCACCCTGCCTGAAGCAAAGCTGTGCTTGACTGTTGTCCTCTTGTGGAAATGATGTTCCACCCTCAAGGAGGGTCTCTTCACATTTTTGAGGCAGGGGCGGCGTCTAACAATCGGGGGCAAAAGGCAACTGTTCTGTCCCTGGCCACGTTCGAAAACGGCACAAACCGACACGACAGAGTAGGGTGGGGCATCAGACCATGATCGCCTTCTACTATGCGCGGGCGGCCAGCGGACCAACCCTCACCAGCCCTGACGCCTCCACCAAAGTGTGGGGCCTTACCCCCCAGTTCGCCATGGCTGGGACCGAGCGGCGCAACGCCTGCGAATGGGCCAGAGACACGAACCGAAGTTCAAGGGGTTGATTCCCCATCCTTTTCAACCATCGTTCTTTCCAATAAGCTCAGGCGATATTCCCAACAGCACCACACCCGCCCCGGGACCCACCTCCGCCTTGTAACTTTGTGAAGCAAAGCTAAGAGTGACAGCGCAATCGCGCCCTGATCGGGGCCCGACGGCACAGCCCGATCGGGGCCCGACGGCACAATCGGGGCTCGATTGGGGCCCGACGGCGCAAGGGGCCCGATCGGGGCCCGATGGTGCAATCGGGGCCCGACGTTGCAATCGGGGCCTGAGTGGGGTTCGACGGTGCAATCAGGCCCCGACCCGACCGGGGCCCGATAGTCCCGTGGCGCAAGCGGGCTCCCACCAACCCCAGCCACCCATATTATAGCTGGACGCCGGTTTTGCTTAGGATGCGGCCTTGCAAGTGTATCTAGCAAAACTAGGCGATACCGGCTTGGTAGTTGATGGGGCCTGATCGGGGCCCGACGGTCGGGCGCAATCGGGGCCCGATCGGGCCTAGAGAAGTCCAACGACCTACTCCCTCAAACCAACTCAAACGCCCTCAATGCCGTTGGCATGTCCTTCCCCCCCTGACAAATACCTGGCCTGGCCCTGCAAGAGCCATGGCTTGCAACGGGCTCAAAGCCAAAAGTTCCCGAGATCAATCCTTTCGCGAGGGTATGGGCACTGCTGGACAACCCCGGTTTTGGACGGTGCTTAAAAGGGAAACAGAGCCAGGATGTTCCCAACAATTACAGAGGCTCCTGATTGATCCAAGTCTCTGGCTTGATCAACCATCTGATCCTTAAAGAGCTCAACATTGCTTCGTCCATATGTTGCCTCTCACGTGACTTACACATCCTAAGAGACACGGCATCCATCTGCATCCGACTCAAGCATCCGGCTGATGGCTTACGGACGACAGCCGATGCCTTCTCGAACTCTTTGTGCAGCAGCTTCATGATAACAAGCTACGCAGAGCTGCTCAAATCCGGGGAGGTTCTCTGAATGTTGTCCATGCACGCACAACATCTTCCCGAGTTGGTCGAAGGATCCAAATGCTTTCATGCAGGTGCTTGTTGGCTTGAATTTGCTGAAACTCGAGGCCCGCCAGGGATAAACCTCTGCCACAGCAATGGCTCAAGACGACACATGTGTTTTCTGCATGTGATGGCTCATCTGCTCAATCTGTGGATCGCAATGTCGCGCTGGGCAACCAAAGCTGCAGCGTCCAGCAATGCTAGCGGCACTTAGGCGGAGCTGCCTGAGTGCGGAGCTGCCATGAATGCGTTGGACTGTCCAAAGAGCTGTCAGAACCTGTTGGACGCGGTTTGATCCTTGTTCCCCGTAAAGGAAAACCAAGATGAAGCCAGACATGTGTGTGAAGGTCCAGCTATTGACACATCTGAAGGGCGCACCACCTCAAGACAGGTCCCTCTGACACAAGGCGCGGTGGATTTTCTCGGTCAGTCTGCAAAGCAGTCGGCTGCCTGCTCTGCCAAGGCTGCAAGGACCCGCTTCTGACCTCACAAAATGGGAAGTTTGTTGCTCGGTATTTGACGGGCAACCAAGAGGAAACCAACCTTTTTGGGGGACCTCTATTTTGAGAACACCCCCAATGAGACGAGGACAGCAACGTCTAGCTTTGCGAAAGAATACGAACCTGTCGAACCCAAACTCGTCCATATCAGGGGTCCCTCAGACTGAAATAAAGATGTCGAGGGCGTTGCGTTTGGGATCCGGTGCCACTCTGGGGCCACCAACCAACCCTCAGCAGCAGGATGTTCCGCGCGTTCTCGGGACGCACCTCAGGTGGGAGCGCCTCGCGACGAAGAAAAGAACTCCTCTTCCCAGCCATGTCAGCAAAAACTTTGCCTTTGCAGCCCGCTTCAGAAAAGCAACAAACTATGCTTTGAACACAAGTGACAGCCTCTCTCCAAAAGATGTCGAGAGAGAGAGAGAGAGAAAGAAAGAGAGAGAGAGAGAGAGAGAGAGAGAGAGAGAGAGAGAGAGATGTCAAACTACATGCTTCACTTCCTGCATTTGTGTTGCATGTATGTTCGCTACTGCAGGCCTTGAGCTCACTACTTCGCATGAGTGAAAAGGTTGGCAGCTGCAGACTACATCGGTTGACTGTTTGTTTGAACACTACAGCACTTGCACTTGTAAGCAAAGTAACAACCAATTTTAACGTGGTAGCGGAGCTGAGATCCTAAACATAGGGGAGCTCCAGTAAGCAGTAAGTACTACAACCACAGCAACAGCAGTCACATGCCAAACTACTACGACATGTCAGGAGAAGCAGCATCAGCCTCAGCACAACAAACTACAGGAGCAGAGAACGGGCCAACAGCAGACACAGTAGGAGCCACAACTACGGGAGCAGGAACAAAACAAGACAACGACGTTCAGAGACTACATAGATACAAACTGCCACCACCCTTCTTCACTGGTGACTACTCCCAGTATGAAGAATGGCTGTTCAAGCTACAAGCATACCTCGGCCTCATAGACCGAGACTTCGACCTGGTGCTACAACTAGCACAAGTGGCTACACGACAGATTGAGGACACAGACATCAGAACACACATACTCGACCCTACACAAGCAAGCAAAGCAGTAGACCTCTCCAGAGATCTACACTACATCCTCATCAACATCTGTCAGGGAGCAGCAGCTACAGTAGTAAGGCAAAACCGCTACAACGCAAACGGATGTGAAACACTACGACTACTACACAACAGGTTCAGCCTACCAGTAGGAACAAGGAGCGTTGGTTACCTTACCAAACTACTGGAACCCACATTCAACGAAGCGCAGTTTGAAGAACAATTTCTACAATGGGAATACGACATCAACCGCTACGAGAAAGACAATGGAACAGCACTACCAGATGGAATCAAAATAGCAATACTACTCAACAAAACCAAAGGAGCACTGCAGCAACACCTCCAACTGCGAGCTGGACAGATCACGAACTACATCGAGATCAGAGCACTCATCTTGGACTACTACAAGACGATTTCAGCCTTCACTAGATCTACTTCAGCAGTAGGAACAAACTACAATGGAGGAGCTGCACCAATGGATGTTGACAACATATGGAGGAAAGGAAGAAACTACAAAGGCAAAGGAAAAGGAAAAGGCAGCTACAAAGGAAGCAAGAGCAAAGGCAAGTACAGGAGTAAAGGACACTACAAAGGATTCGACAAAGGCAGCAAAGGAAACTACAACAAAGGAGGATACAACAAGAGCAAAGGAAAAGGCTACTCAGGATCCAAAGGATATGGATCAAGCAAAGGCTACAAAGGCCAAGGAAACTACAGCAAATCAAAAGGAAAAGGAAACAACAACTACACAACATGCCATCGATGTGGCAAGCCTGGCCACTGGGCACAAGACTGCAGAGTGCCAGTATGGCACATAGGAGAAGGAGAAGAACTACATCCACTAGAACAAGAACAAGCAGATCATGACAACAATGAAGAACTACCTCAGGATGTGAACGACACTTGGGACTGGTACTACGAAGGAGAAGAAGGACAACACGAGGTGAACTACATGGAGGAGAACTGGAACGACTACGACTATGACAACAGCTGGGATTGGAATGACAACAGCTATGAGGACACAGCAAACTACATTGGAGGCATCAACGAGTCACACCTTACCATTGGACACATCAGACAAGCAAACTCACGACTACACAAGCACAAATCCAAATCACTACTTGGCAAGAGAACAACACACACAACATCATGGAACGACCACAGCAGGAGCTTTCAACAATTCCTACAAGAAGACACCACACAGCACAGCCACACTTCGACATAGCAGCAGCAAGACAACAACAAAGGAACAAGAAGATTGAGGACACTATCACACACTACATCATGTACTCCAACTTCAAGTCATACCACCACCTGTTGATCGACTCAGGAGCATCTACACATGTTTGCCCGAAGGACTACGCACCAGACCTACCGCTACGACCTTGTGGAGAATCAGTTCCACAACTCTACACGGTTACAAACAAGAAGATTCCTGTCTACGGCATCAAGTACGTTCCCTACAAGCAGGACAACTTCAGGATCATGATACCCTACTACGTTTGTGATGTGAAGTGTCCAATCCTCAGTGCGTCAGGACTACTCGATAGAGGATATGGACTTGACTTCACTCGACGACACTGCACCATCACACATGGACAACAACAAGCACACCTCATAAGACACTCAGGACTTTTCTACCTACGAGCAGAGAAGATCGACATCCCTACAGGATTCGACATCTACCCAATGACTACAGACAATGGAAAATCCATTGCTGTGATTCAACCTACAGAGAAAACAGTACAACAACAAGAACAAATTGCACCACTCACCCACACAGACCAAGGACTACGACAGATCCTTGGTGGAAACACTGACTACTGGAAACTTGATGGTGACTACGCCATCAGAGTACACAAACGACCACGCAAAGCATTATTCACACCACACAACAGCGGTTGCCCAATACCTGAAGGAGAACTAGATGATTGGCGACTAACCATCATCAACAGACAAGGGCAAGAGCAAGAACAACTACAAGAGAACCCAACACAACTTTCCAAGCAAGAACTACAACGAAGACTAGAAGGTGACAACTGGACTGGAGAAACCAGATTCAGAAGAAAGATAACACCTACACGCAGAGCAACATCAAAGACCACACCAACAAGGCAGAGCTCACAACCACAACGGCTAATGGACACACCACCAACCAGATCAAAGATCCAACTACGAGCACCACAAAAGATATGGAGACCTAAAGCAGCACCTTCTACAAATCTTGACACCACACAACCAAAGGAGACACTTCACAGACCACTCACAGCACAGGAGGACAACCAAGACTACTGGGAAAGGAAAGACAAGGTGAATACTGGATAAGACACCACACAACACTTAGAACAACTCTATTCACTCCAACAGATGGACCAGGACATCCACCAATCAGCACACTTGAACCTCACAGAACTACAATCACTCACAACAACTTTGGAGAAGTTTCACAACGCAAAGATGACTGGACAGTCATGGGCAACGCAGCACTACCATTTCAATGGAAAGGAACAACAAGGTTCACCGTGAAGAAAGACTACGAGTACATCCAGGAGAACCACGATGAGGAACAACAACACGAGCATCATGAAGCACACAGAGCAAGAGGACTACGACAACCACAGCAGCCCACTCCACAACAAATAGCAGAACACAATCTTCACACCTACCATAGAGAAACTGCGTTCAAGGCAAAGGACGCCAAGACAACTACAAGAAACAACAATCACGACAAGCCGTCATTCAAGTAGCCTTCGCCTACATCAAATCACAACAAGACCCAAAGACCATACCAGTACTGACAGCAGTTGATGTTACTACTACACAACTGTGTATGGCAGTACTGGTCCCGGACAAACCATCAATGATGGACTACATGGTCAACAACCTACAAGCATTCATCTTTGAGTGCGGAAGAACACAAGGCATACTACAAAGCGACAACGAAGACACACTCAACGCACTTCTAAAAGCTACAGCAGCAAAAGTCGGCTCAATGACTGTACGACACTCACCGTCTTACAGCAGCAACAGTCAAGGAAGCGTTGAGCGACTACATAGAACACTCCTCGGACAAATCCGCGTCGTCAAAGCTCAGGTTGAAAGCAACTACAGCATGACGATGTCCACAAAGCACTGTCTACTACCTTGGATAGTACGACATGCAGCATGGACGGTAAATCGCTACGTCATCCACTCAGACGGCTACACAAGCTTTGAACGCCGCTGGGGAAGAAACTACGAGCGAGCAATCTGCGAATTTGGCGAGACACTACTTTACCTTCCACCACAACACAAGAAACTTCCAAAAGCAGACCTAGGGATGCAGAAATGCATCTGGCTCGGAAAAGTTTCCGAAACCGGAGAAAACTACGTCGCAACGGAATCAGGCGTACAAAAGGTACGAACAGTACGGAGACTACAACCGGACTTCAAATGCGACCTCGCACTGTTGAACAAAGTTTCCGGCACACCATGGGCACCACGACGGAACACCTACAACCCATCGTTCGCAACACTGTTGGATACGCAACTACAACCGTCAGAGAAAAGAGAAGGTCCACGCAAGATTTCGGACAACAGACGAACGCTACGGACGACATCGTTGCGGAACCCGCAACAAAACAACAACGCACTACACCACCTCCACGACTTCCGTCTACATCGACGTCAAGTTCACGACCACTACCGGATAGTCCTATGGCTACTTCACCAACCGGACGACAACATCCACCACTACCAGCACCACCTCGACAAACACTATACGACGTTTAACTCCGGAAGAAGTAATGCAACCAACTAAAGCACAGAAGACCTCAAAGGACACTACAATCAGATCAACGGAGCAAGCAACCAAAGAACCACCACCACTACGACAGAAAATCAACGCAGTGACACTTCCCAACGGAAAATCCATCAC